CGGTTGAGTTACCTACCTAATGGCATAATTGCAGGCGATTAACCGTCTGACTGCCGAATCAGTTCCATGGCCGATAAGCTTATTCTCGTCCCCAGAGTCACGAAGCTTAACTTGGATAACGTTAAACATTGAATAACTTGAACGATTTTTTTTTTTATTCAACTATTTCTTAGTGTTTGGAGCAACTCTCAAAGAGCGCGTCGTGTAAAGGGGGGGCGTTTATTAGACAAGGGGTGTTTATTAGAGTTAGGGCGCCTATTATATCATTTACGGTACCTCGAAACGTAGTCCTTAATTTTCGATTGGAATTTGCAAAAATGACCTTATATTTACTTTCCGCTTTTAGCTGAGTGGTAAGCATTCCAGATGCTAATTGTCGGTAATTGCATTTACTAGACGCTAGCGCACATCTCGGTAAAAACACCACTGACCGTGCTCAAATGATTGCGCAACCCTTAACAATCGCTGTCTCAGGAGTATTAGCATTCGAGTTCAAAAGCATGAATTAAAACACCACCTTTTGCTTAAAGTAGCTGTGTTTACTATTCAATTGTCCTTCTGTCAGTTTTAAGACTTCTTAGCGAGTGATACCTGGAATAAGCAACGTTTCTGAAAGTGGATGGCTACCGCGACAAACGTTAGTCTCCCCACCGGGTGGCAGCTTCAGTAATACTTACTCTTATGACAGCGAGGACCATAGTACCCTGTACCATGGCACTCACAGCGGTAACCGTCTTTGGCTCCTTTTAACTGCACACAGTAGCCATTGTTCTTACAGGGTTCCTTCTCGCATGGATCCACTGAAAGGGATCAAGGAATATATTACTTAATTATAAGTTTATACCAGCTGAAATGAATTCCAAGAATTTCACTGAAATGCAGCGTTTCTGATCTAAGTTCTCCATGAACATTTACTTCTTCAGGTATATTTCAACTCCGACCATGTTGTCTCTTGATGATGTCATTGCGGACACCAACAGATATATACCTAGAAAATATGGGCCACTCGAGTTTGTTGGCTTCTTTGACCCACGCGCGACAAAATTATAAACCTCTGCATCGCGAGGAATAATAATCACATCGCGACGTAATTGACCAATCAGATCAATAACCAGAGTATAATACCATCAACTTACGTGATACAACTCACTTTGACTCTGAAGATAACTACCGCACAAGTTGTTGAAACGTCAGTCACTGTCAACAACAACAGTCCTATTCAGGACTACGTTCACCCGGACGATCAAACTCAACCTACTTTTAATTCATTTTATTGAGAACGCATATTAAAGTGGAATTTAATGTGTCTAAAGAGCGAGGAGAAATGAAGGGGATTGTTGATGCCTGAACGGTGCGATTGTATTGCAAAAATCATTCCCTAATCAATAGCGGATTAAATCTCAAGTGCCAGTGTGACTACTAGTATCAGCCAATCATAACGCAAGTCTATGATTCTGTGATCCAATCACCTCTCAAAACGAATCGAGGACACCAAGCGCGGGAATAGCTTGTGACCGCGCGTGCTTTGATTGGTTTGAGTGAATAAGAGCTGGATGGCGCAAGATTTTTCAGCCAATCACACAAAGTGTAGCAATCGAACCCACAGTAATTGCGAAACTACCGTAAACCACTCTACAGTGTTCACATTGATCATCTTTTCTTAATGATTTCTTACCTAAATGAACTGTATTTTCGGCGACGGACAGACAGCTTTGCAGTGACGAGTAATTGAAGGGATTGTTACAGCACCACGCTTGCGCACAACGGCACATTCCTTTTACAGCGTAACAGCCTTGGTACCGTTGAATGTTGCACTTCAGGGAACGAACGCACGTCAGCTTTGATGAGGCTGCTTGGAATGACGGGACTGAAAGACAAAACCGCGCCCGCACCGCGCAAAATGTCAACGTCATTTCAAAAAACCAAACAAAATCCTGGCGCTTCTTCGTCTAAAGGTGACTATACTCATCCTCACTTGAACTGCTTTAGTGATAATTATGCTGGGTTAAACCACAAAACAGCTTAATGCTGTAAATTCTTTTTTCCCTCAGTCAATTTGTTATACGTTACAGCTACGTATTAAAATTAATTGAATAATCAAGGGATTAAAAACTGAATATATTCGACTACACTATAAAATCATATTCTTCTTAAGCACAGTTAAGTTGAGGGTTACAACCCTCGCTATTTAAAGGAAAACAAGCAACCTACCAAAGCACAGAAGAATTAAAACGGACAAAAGCTTGCTCATTGTGAAATCAACTCCTTTCACAAGCTCACGATTCAGTGTTCTTCTTGAAATATGAGGCTCGACTAAACTGATCATGAGCACGGAGTTCAACTTTAAAGGACCCCTTGGCATGGAACCAAGATAAAGTGCGGAAAGCAAACTGTTTTTTGGTAGCTTGTCAGGAAGTGACAATCGGATCTTCTTAACCTTATGACAGCTCTTAAAACAACTGTTGATAATATATCCCATTTTAGCAATGCTCCTGACAATTTTAGTCACAGTGGTCAATAGACTGAAACAAACATATCTTTAGATCCGTCCGTTCTGATAAGATGATTAATGTTTCTCCACTGCACAGGTCGTACCTACAATTCAACATTTCGAAGTTTCCGTGCAGTTCAATATTGTCGAATTCCATTCTCGATTGCCTTGAATCGAGATATAGATAGCCCGTTGGACGCATACTCCAGCCGAACATGTCTTTGAAGGGAAAACCTGCCCCTCCCCACTTCCCGCCTCGACCCTCCGATCCGGGATAATAAAAACTGTCAAAGTTGAGGTAATGAGTCGAGTTGAAGATTTTCTTTCCAGAACGACCAAAACGTTTGTTTTATTATACTTAGTTTTCTTTCCAGTTATACCGGTGCCGGCCCGAACAGGCTGAAAGATCATACAAGGTCCAGAAACTTCGGAGAGTTTAGCCTCAAAACAATCTTTGTACGTGATAACAATCATTTACGTATTCGCTAATTTTGATGTTTATTGTGCCTTTTATATCCTGCTAAGCTGCCGTATCGTTTAGTACAGGAATAGAACTTGGAAACATTCCATGACATCAACACTACCATAGTTCGTACTTTGTTACAAAACAACCTTCCACGATTACGGAAGGATGTAATGAGAACAACACTTGGCACTGACGTTTCCTATTGTTGACAGGAAACAAGCCGGACAATTTCTATACTACTGATAGAAGGCGAGGTTTAATTTTTACTGTCAAACAAAGTAATGACCAGTTGGACCAAAATTAAAATCGCAGGAAAATTCCATAGCGCGAAATCCGACATGACACCGGGCGCGAAAACGACTGTTCACAAGCGAACCTTTGGATATAGTTCTTGTCTTCATAGTTTAAAGTGAGTTTGTCCCATTAAACGAGTTTCTCGTCTTATAAACAGCAACGTTAACGGTCCTCGTTGCTCACTCACGTATTTACGCCGACTCAATCACGCAAGATCGGCATAATTGTGTCGCACTGTTGAGCAGGTTATCAGTCAACACTTTGCTAATAAAAGAGCTAGTCAGCTGGCTAGTGTTTTTTGCGCTAAACAGTATCCTAAATTTAAAAAGGTCGCTTTCAGGCACTACGGTCGGTTTCTTCTCTGCCGTTTTAGAAAGTTTCTCTTTTGTCCTACACAGAATCGGGGTTTTAAAAACATCCGAGCAAGCCCCGTACATGTATCCAAACATGGGCCAAGTCATCCCCCATCGGTAGAAAACAAAGCTAAAACAAAGAACTTTATTTGAACAGTGATTCATTGATTTATAGATGTCAAGTGCTCCGGCTAATTGATAATATAAAAGGATTTCTTTAGAAAGATTTCATTTTCATTTTGTTCATTTAGTTCTTTATATAGACCCTAATTTGCTCTAAGGAACATGTCGATCAGCTTAAAAATATATAAATCGCTTTTTCTTTCACTGATATAAAATCGTAGCACGCTCACTATCTTCTGAATTTTCTGTGATGGTATTTTCTGCCGGTACTGTTTGACGTGCAGATATTTGAAAGGAAATATCGAGTAAAATACTATAGCATGGTGAAAAAAAATAGGTATCGGTTTCTTAAAAAAGCATTTGCCTTCCAGCACATCTTGTGAAGACGACAAGACTGAACATAAGAATTTTCTCATCCACTCGTTTCGTCTTTTTACTTTCCCGAAATAATGACGACTTAAAACCTTTGACGTTTTTTGTCTTTATCTCGTTTTTATTTTCAAAAACCCTTTGTCCTTTGTCCTGCTTTGTTCTAAAAATAAAAAAAATTAAAACTTAACGAGTTGATAAACGACGGCAAGAGATGATTAAGCCTCTCTTGACTGTGGGCAAAACTTGTACAAACTTCACAACACGATTACCGCCTCTAATCAGCAAGAGAGATCAAGAGAAAACGAAACGAAAAAGCCGCTAAAAATAAAACGGGTAATAAGTCCCACTTTATTAGACAATTTTTTATGAACTGATCATTGGCCGTTTTTATACTAGAGGACGCACTATTCGTCCAGACGGATAATGCGTCTGTGGCCGTTTTTATACTAAGGACGCATTATCCGACCAGACGAACTTGGGCAAACATTTGTAGTTCATCTAGTTATGCGTCTCAAGTATAAAGACGGGCACAAGACGCATTATACGTCTGAACAAACTTTCCTTCGAAATACGTCTTGAACGACGCACTACGAAAGGTAGTTCGTCTGGACGCATAATGCGTCTTGTGCCCGTCTTTATACTAGAGACGCATAACCAGACGAACTACAAAATGTTTGCCCAAGTTCGTCCAGACGGATAATGCGTCCTTAGTATAAAAACAGCCTTACGACTGTTTCATAAGCTTGTGTAATAGATCCAATTACAAGGGTTACCCCTCTTGGTCTACGCTCCTTTGCCCCAGAAAAAAACCCTTTTCCCTATGTTTCCTGAGAGGGGAGCACCTGCAAACACGTTACCCATGGTACAAGGAAAAAGAGATAAAATATTACTGTTTAATAATGCATGTTTTATTGTTTACGTCTCAGACAGATCTTTTGTTCTGCTGAATTTGTTCATTTACTACTATAGTATATTGACAGCGATGTTTAAAGTAAAGGAGTTTGGAATGAATCTTCTAATATATTTGTTAAGCCCCAGATAATAAAGTGAAGAGCAAAACTATAGACAATAAATAAATCTTGTAAGGTCTAGGTTGCCTTGTTTCTCTTTTTATTACTTGTTATTGAAAAAAACTATTTCAGGATCTAAGACCATGAAAGACGAAAGAAGAAATGCTTACAACCAAATTCCTTGCAAGCATCTTTGCCTTTTCACCCGTGTACAAAAATCGAGATTCTGAAATTATACGAAAAAATAACTATTTCACTAAAGTCTAAAAACATATATTACTTAATATTTTTCAAGATCAAAACCTAAAGGATTGGTCGCAACTTTCAAACTACAAATGGTTGAAAATTACAAAAGTTAATAATACATTATTTGGACTTGAGAGAAAAGGCTTAAGATGTATTTGTATCGTTTGAAAGAGGTGGAAAGGGAACCATCAGTTTTTGTACCCATCTCAGAACGACCCTTACCCTGCGAGAAGGGGTTTCTTTCTTTGTTTTTTTTAATATTTTTAAGGCCGTTCGCGTGGCTTGTCAGTCGCGTAAAAAAAAAACGCGACTAACAAGCGACGCGAACGACTTTGCAAATGCTAAAGCCATTCCAGAAAGAAACCTCTGCTCTCAAGGTAAATAACCCTTTGAAACTTTCCACAAGACATTGTACAGAACACTCGATGTTCCTCCGAAATTTTTTTGTTATAAGGTGAAGAAACCAAACTATTTTTCTCTGAGCCATACAATATAATTCACTACGGAAGGTACAACTTTCCCTGAAGAATGAACATTACATTTTTGTGTCATTTATAACTTTGATGAACCACTTTTTGATTTGCACTAGGACTAATATGACCTTGGACATAACCCGCAATAATAATAATTGTATATGATATAATGATTTGTATTATATAAGTTAGACTAGTCAGACGGTAGGTAATACAACTGACAAAATAGCGTTAATAGTTAATTTAACGGACCACCAAAAATACTTTCTGAAACTTTAGAAATTAGTTGGAAAATTATTTACAAATTCATGTAATGTTATGACTCAATATTTAACGTAAATCGTCTTTTAAGGAGCTAAAATGAAGCTTTGTAAACTTGGGGGTGTATTTTATACACGGGTAATGTAGACTGTTCACAGTACCCTATAAATTTTCCGTAAGATCGTCGAGATTGAGCGTTCACCGTTACGAGCGGCCTTCTCGGTCAATGCATTTCGGTGACGCATCCGACTCAAAAACTTTCTCGGACCACGTGACCCGAAACGCAGCAAGAAGCCTAGGGACAAGGCAAACTCAGGGGACGAGGTTAAGACTCGGTATATTTGAAGCCAAGAAGTAGGTGCTCGTTCCCGATAATCGTGCAAAAGGGAAGCTTTGAACAGACTACGTGCAATGCAAATTAATAAACTTATGCCGCCCGTGAAATGAATCAATTTGCCTACCTACAAATAAAAAGCGCTTCCAGAAATAATTATGAAGAATTTATTATCTACCGCTGCGTTATTCAGCAAGAAAGCTATCATGTTATTGACACCTGCCAAACCATGATATGACTTCTCTCATTGGTTGATTGGCCTCGAGTTGTGACAGATATCAAATCGCCTCCTTGTTCCTCCAACGCAGTCTCCTCGCCGTCTCCTAACCGGAAGTCTACGTAACCCTCCCCACCAGACAATACCAATAGCATGGCCTCGCTGGACTTGGCCGACAGTCCACTGGGACTTGCTGACCTTGAGGACGAGGTAGCGGGTTGAGATACTTTCTTCATGGCACCTGGTACCGCTACAAAGAACTTCACCGAGTCACGGTGACCGTGAAATGACAACTGCGCGTTCACCTGAAACAAAGTTAGCCACAAGCTGTTAGACAATAAAAAGTAAGTCTTCATTGTTATATCCCAAGACTTTCACATAACTAAACAGGGACCGTCATTGGTTGATTCTTGATCACGTGGAACTGAATAAATTCAAATGTTTCCTGATCGAGATACATTTGAGCAATTGTTCCCCACTTGCACTCAGAATGTAACAGCACGTGATCAGAGCAAGAAGAAAAGACGCGTGACGAAAGGCAGCAAAAAACATTGCAAACTTTCACTTTCGTGAATGAACACAACAACACAAACATGGAGTCTCAATTAAAGTGCAATGATTTTCGAAGTTATCCAAGAAGAGAAACAGCAGCTAGTGGAGGAACAAGAGGCATATAACAAGGAAAGTACAATGTAAATCAATCATTCAACGATTGAGAAAATAAAATTTGCGTCCTTATAAGTACGGAGTCGACATTGCTTAATTCGTTCTTTATTCTTTGTCGCTGTTAAAGTGAAAGTCTAGGAATATAACAAAACACCCAATGTTTAAGTATATAATGGAGATTTTGGATTTTTTGATAAGTTCTCATCAACTCACCATAGAACAGTAAGGCATAAAGCTTGATCCCCTGGGTGCCTCGCCATCTTTGCCTTCATTACTGTATACTCTAACTGCTCCTCCAGGACCTCCTGTCCCTCCCGTCCCTGGGGAACTTGTTGCTGCATCCCCGTCATCCCTTGCGGGACGGGCAGCCACAAGAGGGACGGAGAGAATGACGCCATTTCCGGTTCCTACCCATAGACGATCGTTGGTTAGCATCAGTGACGTGATACGAACGAAGGAGAAGCCCAACTTTCCTGTCCCTGAAATAAAATGAACAGACGCAAAATAAGAATAACAAAGACAGTTTCAGTTCTAAAGAATCTTTGGACTACTGGCTCGGGAACTGAGGACACAGAGGTGAAACAAAATGGTTTACGGTCATCTCGCCCCCAAACCATCTCGCCACAAACGAATCGCCACGAATAATTCTGCAAAAATTGACACATTTTAATGCCTAGGATTACTTACCTAAGATTTTTACTTTTTCGTCAAGCTTATTCGAATTTAAAGTCGACCAAAATACAAATCTGTCGATCCTAATTGACGATTCTTGTGTCGAACGTCTTATGCTCTTGATAATGCAAATACTAACAATACATGCATAGGTACAGTGAATGTAAACTTTGACATTTCATAGATTTATAAATTGGCAGAAACGTTTTACAACCACTAGTCATTTCTTTGAAATATGAAAATAAAGTAACGGTTAAGAAATTTCCGTACATTAAGGTTCAAAACAATACTATGCTAAGTTCTGTTCTTGTTGGCGATTTAGTTGGTGGCGAGGCGACCATGTGTCTAAAATGCTAAAAAGAAAATGTAACCGAAAGAGTTTTTACTTCAATGGCCACAACTCAATGTCGCCATATGAGATTTAAGAAGCGTCGACAAAAGGAGAGACGGCCGTGTTGAATTCAGTGTATTCGTAGGTTGAGCAGGATTAAGTGGAAAGAAAAGAAGCGCTTACCGAGCATCTTGCTGACGTACGGTTCAATATCAATGTCCTGTAAATGATGGTACGTGTGAGCATTGTACAGTCTCAGTGTACTGTCCAGACGAATAGACACCCACACACCATCTCCTATCCATGCAAGCTGACGGACTTGACTCTCACGCCTCGGGTGAGCATCGAAAGTTTTCTGAAAAATATAGTAGAACAGTGCTCTCCTTGACCTTTTGAACTACAAAATAAGTTATGCATTCTCCTTCGGGTTAAGGTAAAGAGCCATCTTATTCTTTGAAAAGTTAAAGGGGCTGTGTCACGGCAGTCTAGTTCATTTTGTTTAATTTTGTCAACTACTCGCCCTCAATCGTCATGGAACTTAAAGTAAGCAAAGAAATTACATTTAAATGACAAAATCAGAGATCCGAGACAAACAAATATATCTCCTGAGCATTATTTTTGAAGTTGCAAGCAGCGGGGATCAACTTTGACAAACTGTTAGGCTGAACAGTTTTCAAAAACCCTAATTTCAATCCGTTTCAGTCCTCTTCAGTTTTGCCCATCGGTGGCATCTGTTGTTTCTGTTATGTTATTTTAACCTTCCTTTAAAGTTTTAAGCGGTTATTTTTGTTTCTCTTAATTTAACGGCCCTTTTGACTTCCTAATTTGACTGAATTTCGTGACACAGCTCCTTTAAGGTGGCACTGAACCCACTCCCTAAGTTTGTGAAAAATGAGTAGCAGTATTGAACAATCAACGAAGAAGTGCTTATAAATGAAGCTGCTGTTAGCCTTCGAAAAAAGGCCATTAAACTATACTGTTGTACCTCAACTTTCATGCTGCGTGGGTGTATCACTTGGATTTTGTTGCGGTATCCACACCATACTTTATCATGCACTACAGACATACAGCGTATTGAGTGGTGAGGCCGGCCCAAATCCAGCAAATGATAGTTGTTAAAGTTCCACTGGCCATCTGAAATAAATAACAAACATGTTCATTTATGGTTTTGTCTTGATGATACTTTGTGCAACTTGCACAACAAGACTGATATGTTCATACCCTTTATGCTACAGTTACTCCAGTAATGACACCGGGTTCAAAATAACGGCCGGTCAACAGACAATTTCTGGGCAGAATAGGGTCTTGACGGCCAAAAGCTCCACTCAACAGTCATGGTGACAGGTCGTTTCTTTCCACCCGAAATTTTCAAGTGGAGAAAAACGACAACCTGGAAATACGTCTGTGTCCGCAGGCTAGTATAATCTCAACAGTCCAAGGTTTAATTTTTACAGTACTGTTTGTTCCTGGACAGATCAATTTGTTTTATTCAAGCTAATTAAAGCTCACTACAATATTAACTTACCAGAAGCTCTGTGAAAGATAGCAACTGTACCATCCGCCAAGGCAACCAATACACGGGAATTAACATAACTGACAAAAAAAGCATTGAATTGAAAATAGACATTAACAGGACTCAATGTCTCTCAGCTATAATTCAACAAAATCCTGATCAATATCTTCTTACTCCCCCCCCCCCCCCCCCCCCCCCAAACACAATAAATAACAAAAAATAAAAAAAAAACTTTAAATTGAAAAAAGAAACAAAACAGAACCAAATGCCACAAACTAAAAATAAAAAAAATCAATATAAAAAATTTTTTTCCCCCCCCCCCCCCTTACCCACTTGCTTTTTTTTTCCTGCTCACTTTTTTTTTTTTTTGCATTGTCCGCACAATCTCAATGAAATTCCTGAAAAAGGCTGCTGAATTTTTTTTTAAAAATATTATAAGGGGCTTGAACATAGAAGAGACTTTCTGTTGCAGGAAAATCATACCACCTATAAAGGAACATTTCTAAAGTACCAGTAACCAGAAAAATGGATGGTATACTGGTGACATCTTTTAATCAAAGTTAACGATACCACCTTTCTTCATCTATTAACTCGCTAGATTATACGAGCAGTATGCAGGACACGTGTCATGTATGAACCTCCCATAAAGCCTACAGAAGCATACCCAGTGTGCTTACAGAGGAGGGGTAGGGGGTTCTGCCAAGATTACACCTCTCTTTAAATAAAAACATTATACACTTACACAATACTAAGCACAGAGTCTTTTAATCTGATGGAGTGTATACATTTCTTCCAGTCAGATATGGCAGAATGAACATACACACTGCAAGAAAAAAAACAAGCAACAGGATATTAATTTCAGCAATTAAAAAATGAATACACTTTGTACTTTGATACCCTCTAAGGCAACTAACATCTCATTGAATGGCTGACTGGTTGAAAGCTGTTAACCAGCCTCAGAGCTAACTTTAACACTCCCTCATCGTACAATGTTTCCAGGGACTTCCATTTTTGGCAAAGCCAGTCCCTAGAGGGAGTTACGCTACCATGGCTGGTAGACCTGAACCTTCCAGCCACGAGCTCCCACACCAATGGAACCAGGCACCTGTCACACTGATTTATTAGTGGAAAAATAAAGGGGGAAGGGGTGGGGAAAAGCACAATCCAAAGGTTAAACAAAGCGAGTGGCCTCCATGAAAGCATTGTACTAAGCACATGGAGCTGATGCAAGCAAGGCTGACCATGCTTGCACCACCACATTGACTGATGACTGACAAGAGGTGGTTCTTCTTGTTGTTAACTGCATTAAATTTCATATAAGTTCAACCAGAAACTCATAAGGGGTTTCAACCCCTTATGAGTTTCTGGTTCAACATAATCAACCTTCAGTGCACGTGAATGGTTGTACCAATGAAATAACAATGTTGCAGTGAATATGTGGCAATAACCAGTCAACCACGGAATCCTGAAACTACTATGTACAGTTTTCATCTAAGATGCATGATGCCTCCCAAACTGAGTTGAGGTGTCTTAGCTGGACATACGTCCCTTAAGGAAAAAAACATTATTTGCAGCCCTTTTCTCAGAGATGGGCAGTGACAAAGGGAACTACCACAAGTCAATGGAAGACACTTAAATTGATTTTATAGAATCATGTTGGCTTCTAAATGATTTACTATTTCTTTTTTTTGAGACTTGGCTTTATAAAAAAACCTATTTTCTCAAAATTAGAAAAAGTGTTAAATATAACGCAGAGATGGATGCTGTTGCTCTTACCAGCCTGATTGTGCTCCAAGCCACATTGTAGGCAGTACACTACTCATTTTCTCTATTCCGTCCATGTGTCCAGCCAGTGGTGACATACTCTCTCCAGCTGTTATATCTGTCACTGTTGGACCATCTGATCCCTGTCCCTGGACACCTAAAATAATTTTATCAAATACATTGATACAAAAAGAACTAATTCAATATAACTCTGTTATTTTTAGAGCTTCTAATCATCAACTTGTAGACAAAAAGAATTAAAACTGAAATGCTTTTTACGCTTTCAAATCTGAATGCAAATCTCGCACTAACCCTGGGTTATCTTAACCCAGCTTTGAACAACTCAGCCCTGTATTAGAAATCAAAACTACTACTGAAAAGATATTTAAAAAAGGACCTTATAAGTGCATCATAAAATGCTTAAAAATGCTCCCATGCCTCCCTTAAACCAACAGTTTGCCCTAAGTTAGTTTTAATACTGGTTTAGGGGAGGGGTAGGTGGCCATTTTAATCCACGCATGTTACACTGATCTCTACTTCTGGAAACCATGTAAATACCGTCATACCTAGTGGGTCAGAAAATCCTGTCTTGCTTGAACTTGCTGTTGAATCCTCCTTGTCTCCATTTGTCTGAAGTGGATCTAACAGAAAAAGTCAGCTGAACATGTAAGTATAAAATCCACTTGAAAAAAGGACGCTTGAAACAACACTTTAACATATAGATGGTGTATTTGCTTATTTGACTTTGATTATCTGGGTTCTCATTAAGTGCACCACAACCAGCTAAAAAACTGGCTACTTCATATCTTATGCTACCTACTCTCTGGGGGAAAAGGGTAAGGTCAGAGAGTGAGAGCTTGAGATTGCCTTCAGCAACTGACTACCAAGCTGCCTGCTTTATCATCCTAGCTATCAACTTCAAAACTTAATAAGAACCCTGGATCAGGGATCAATGAGGAGAAATTAGTCCCTCATAGTTATTGCAGTGGGGTGTACGAATGAAAGGGGTTACTGGTAGATAAAGACATGGTCAATATATACCTTCAACAGTCCACTCTGAGCTTTGATAATCCCCTTCTGAAGCACCAGGGACTGGTGTGATACACAAGAGATGCGACGTGCACACTATAAAGCAATCTAAAATATTCTGAGGGTAGTTCGCATCCACCACTGTGACTTTACTACAAGAGTGTGTACTACTTCCAATCCAAACCATGGACACTTTAGGATCATGTTGCGGGTCCTTTTCTCCTTCTTCCTGGTCACGAGCACTTTCTGTGTAGAATACACTGCTTGCACCAATAGCTGAGCCGCCATCTTTTGTTCTACCACCAGACAGGTCCACTCCAGCAGCACACCAGATCTGTACGATGACAAAAAATATATATTAATTGTACTTTGTTTACCCACAAAGCACTTAGGAGTTCTTAACAGCTCGTTTTAAACATGTCAATGCATTCCTGATTGAATTGGAATTTGGAAGTACTGGTTTTTGAGGGGAGGGGAAACCAGAGTTCCCTGGAAAAAATTTCTTGGAGAAGGGCAGAGAACTAGCAACAACTGAACTGGGGGAGGGGATTTTGTTTACACAAAGGCATTGATTTGGAAATGTTTTTTTGTGTGTGTGTGTGTTAGGTAGAGTAGTTTTGTCTTGGACTGTAGCTTCAATGCCTTTCATTTTAATACTTACTTTCCCTTCATCTCAAAAATTTAATAATTCTGTATTATTGCGAGTCTTTTTCTTTTCTTTTTTTCTTACTTTCTTAAGCTTGAAACTGCCTCTTAAAATGTTTGTCCCAGACCCCAGGAGAGTTACTTCTTCAGTTAAGAGCTGGTGCTGCCTCACTGTGTTAATAGGGACCTTAAGATCTGACAATGGTGACGGCAACGAGAATGTCAAAAAACAATAGGTTTAACAACCGAAACAACAACTTTGCACGAGCATCACGTTTTTTTTGTACATTTCTTTGCCGTCACCACATGACTATGATGTGAAAATGCCTAATTTCATGTTTTACAGAGGAAGAACACAAGCAACGACAAAATTTCCTCTCTCCTTCTGAACATGGATATGGTTCTTAGGAATTCAACTTTCGGAGGATTCACCTACATTTGACAAAGTTAGTGACTTGGAGTAATCGTGATGAAGATTAAAAGAATTCAAATTCACTTTTTCAACAACATTTTCGCTGCTGTTGCCCTGCTTGGATCTTGAAGTCCCTAATACTTACAACAAAGACAATGTACAATGATGACAAACAAAAAGTTCCATAATTCATTTTAACACAAGTGACAAGCATGTTCTAAAGTAAAATGCCTTTGGGCTACTTTTGTAAGAAATTTAAACATGCAATATTTACCTTCATCCCTGGATCATTAAGATTAAGAGGACGACAGTAGACTGGTACAGGAACGGACACAAGACTCTTTCCACCTTCAGCAACTTCAGTTGAATATTTGGCAGGAAGACTCCAGCCATAAGCTTGCATTCGACCTTCAGAAACATCTGGAAAGAGATATTAATACCAAGTTTGACTTTCAAGGCAATAAAATTTACTATAGTTTAAATTGAGTCAGCATATTTCCCTCAGAATGCCAATGTTTAAGTTCTTACATCTGGTCCTCATAGGCCTGAAGGCGTTATGGCTTATGTCAATATTCTAAACCAACTTTTGAAGGCAATCCTTCATTCACATGGTGGATGCTGCCAAGAACTTTTCTAACTGTTTTTTTTTTCCAGTGGGAAGTAAAACAGTCAGCTCGCTCTAAGACGGACACTGTCCATCTAAGAGTGATGTCCATCCTATAGAGGGTCAAATAAAGCGAGTAAAGAAAGGCAGGGACCAACTCTCGGTGTCTGCTTTACCAAGGTGTCCATTTTATAAAGTTGTCTGTTAAGAGAAAGTTGACTGTAGTAGGACAAAATGTTGAATCTTGGGTTAATTGGCATTATGTTTTGTTAACAGGAGAAAGCAAAGAAAGCTTCACTGCATTTATTTCATTCTTAACAGAAACAAAACTTTTTTCCTGTGATTTATAGTCAAAAAATCCAAAAACATGCATTAAATGTTTTAGCACAGACCTACCTGAGTTGAGAAATGCCCTAACTTGTCTGTAGCGCTCTCTTCTGTCAACAACCCTCTGCCTGTCAAAGCTACAGATGAAAGAAAATAGAATGAATGAATGAAATGAACATGGTCCCAGATAGTGAAAGAAGTCTAAGCTTCAAGAGTCTTGACAGAGTCTGATTATCTTAAATAAGTACCCCCTAGAATGAAATTCATCTGTCTCCATCATAGATCACTCATCACTGCGTCTGAGACTCACTGACTCAGGGGTCTCTCGTGGGAGTGTGTAACTTGAGGAGATAGTTGAAAATTGAACACTGATGGAAATATGGAAAAAGAAAACACTAATCTATTGATACCAGGAAAAGTGTTCTGCTGGTACTGAAATGTTCAAACAGCTTTCTAAATTAAAGGGAAGCTTAAACATTGTTTTTATATGCAACGTCAGTCATTTTAAAAAACCAATGACCTTCAATGTTGTCAAATAGAAAATGTCCCTATTTCAAATGATGCTTATAAATAGTGCTGAACACTTAGCTTTATTAAATTTTTTAATTTAAAACAAGCACTTTCCACCAAGGATTTACAGTAAAACAATGGACCACCCCTCCTCAAGGCTAAAGAGTTGGGATTGGAACAATTATTCCTCTACACTGAAAAAACAATTGTTACAGAAGTGTCAATGACAAACTCGATGGCAGAGTGTGCTTGGTGCTCTGCTATGCTGCTAATAGAGCTACTAATACAAATGTAAAGAAAGCTTTTTAAAACGATTATTTTTGTCTTACTTTTCGCTGCCAAATCCTCCACCACCAGAAGTTGCAGCGGCAGCACCAGGTGCAGATCCTGAATCCAAAGAATTACTACGTCGAGAGGCAGGAGGCTTCTCTCCCTCCAGCTGAGGGGAGTTGTATCTGATACTGACCATGGGAGGAGCAGGTTTCTTAGGAGATGGACCAAATAGGTTGCTGAAACTAATGGCAAAATAATTTTGTGGTTAGTTTGTTCTATGTCATTCCAAAGCAGGTAATTCCAGTTTTACTAAGTACAAAAATGATTGCAAGGCTTCTTCCCCTGTTCCTCAATTAGCTCCACTAACTGTGGGTGAATAATATTGTAATCACAAAACAATCAACGCTTCAGAGTTTTTTAAAATTATTTGTTTATTAATGATACCCAGTTCAATTTACGCTTTAATAAGCAGTTTAACTGGAACACGCTATATCACTTGCAAACGAGACACCCCTGAGGATATCTGGTAACCTTAAATGTTCAGCAGATTTCTAAATCTATCTATTTTGGCAGTACCAGCTTTCAACCATTCTCCTCCAAACTCTTTCGTTCACCCTTTTCAAAATGTTCTTGCAAATGTTCTGCAAAGCCGACAAAACCTGTCAATTTTTTAGATAAAGTTGGACTTATGCAGGAAGCATCCAGTAAGTTCAAATGTCGCTTTGAACCTAGGAAGAATAAAATCTCCCTTCAAGATTTTTATAAGAGCTGCAAAAGTTGCCTGCGACTTAGTGTAACCTTTTTGGCATTACTCCTTGTTTACTTCACAAGAACCATGCAACTTACAATTTCCAAATGGATGATTTCTTCTTCTGTTGCAATTCAAGGTTTCTCTCCTTCGATGCCCTATAAAATTAAACGATTATTACTTCAGGAGTACTGAGAAACAGGTATGTTAAAGATGAAAATGGAATTAAGGTTACAACCTGGTCTCTGATTCATATTTCCAAAGGAATTGAGCTACAACCACCCTGAATCATATTTTTGAACTGTCAAATGTATACAAAATTCTAACTGTTTGTACACTGACAGAATACAGCTTTGTAAAACTACTGGTAGTAATATAAAGCCATGATTACCTAACATTTTGTTTTCCCAGTTTCCCAGTTATGGTATTATATAATTTTAGTCGGAGTTCAACAAAACATCAGCAGTACATGAAGAAGTTCAACTACTGTTTTATTGAATAGGTACCTGATCATTTCTGTCCATCTCACAGCTTCTTGAAGTTCCATCAGTCTTTCCTTGTACTGATTCCTCTCCATTAGCACTCTAGCCATTTCTACTCGTGTGAACCTCTTTCGATGAGCTGCTGACACACTAGCCTAGAAAACAACATTCTCAAATGGTCTAAATATTTACCAGAACTGTTTCAAATACTCTGAAACAATAAATAGAATCGACAAGCTGTATCCGCAAACAATTGATCAGTTGACTCTACATTAATTTCATAAATACATGTTGCAGATACATTTCTCTGCATAGAACAGAATTGTATATTTGGGACCAGTGTTAGTTCCAATACTAAAGGCAGTATATTTACCTCTTTTAATGCAACAGTCGTTTTTTCGGCATCCATTTTAACCCTGAGGAGAGAAAAATGTAAATGGAATTTTGTGCCTGCAACCATACAAACCATTTAGATTTTTAAATAGGTTCTATTTTTCTGAAGAAAAATTAAATTGCATCGTAGCTAATAGAATTTAGTGGTCTTCAGCCACATATTAAGTATTTACATAAGAAATACAGAAAATTTTTTTCACATATTTTGCATTTACATGTCAATTGGAGTGATAGGGAATCTACGTCAAAGAACATCCTGAATGTTGAGGTGTCTTATTTGCACAAGATTACAGTCACATTTGTTTAAAATACATTTTAAAAACTAAGAACCTGTTTCAAATTTTAGGCTAAACGGTTCAAGTATAGAGGGGGTCAAGTTTTTAGCCTAACAGTTTCATAAAAACTAGGTTCTTGTGGGTTTTCACTGTATTTGCAATTATTTGCAAAATGTAAAATTTGATACAAACTCAATACCAGCCCTAGCAAAGCTATTTATTCACTTATTATAATTCTGAACTGAACTGTCAAGTTATATTGAATTAAGAAACATACACATTACATTGGATTTAAAACATTTTTAATTATCTTTTATCACAAGAAACTAATAGTTCAAAGCTACCTCTTGAGTTGTTGTTCAAGCTCTGAGATGTGAGTTGTCAGCCTGTTCTTGGTATCCTGAAGAGCTTCAACTTCATCTCTAGCCAGCTCCTTTTCACTAGAATAATTATGTAAAAAAATGGCCAAACATAAAGCAAAATTCTGCCCAGTTGCAGATTAGCATTTCAAATTTAACTGTGACATGTTAGGAAGACGACATTTTTATGAGCAAAAAATAGATTGCTTGTATAATAATAATAATGATAATAATAATAATAATAATAATAATAATAATAATAACAATAATAATAATAATGATGATGATAATAATAATAATAATAATAATAATAATTTACTAACTTAATGTGTGCAACTTAACATGAGAATGATCAGCTGTGCGTTACAACCACATTGCATTACAAGAGACAGAAAAAATATAATAAAAAATATAAAATTTATATGCACAAAAATTACGTAAATAAAATAAAATCAATCACCAATACATAGATCTCAAAAATGATTCTTCAGACATTTGTAATTGCAAGAAACTCTTTGGGAAGAGATGTTCCAGAGCTCTGTCACCTAATGAAGTTTTAGTTCAAACATCTGGTGTAGAAAGTAAAATAGTACCTGAAAATCTAACGTTATATGAAGGTTACTTAAAGCTTGATAAATTACTCAGATATTTAGGAGCAAGGCCATGAATTACTTTAAATGTAAGCAGCAGTATCTTAAAGTCAGTCCAAGCTCCAACGGGATGCCAATGGGGAGGAAATGTGAAAAAAAACTCCCTACAATTTGTAGAGAAAAAAAGTGATATTCTTACTGAAACAAAGTTGGCTCATGACTACTTCTAAGGCTAGTTTAAGGATGATTCTGCCTTCTTTATATCCAAAATATGTGAACACAAAGAACTCAAGGCAAAAAATAAAACAAATTTGTGACAAATAGATGACATTTGGGGAACATTTTTGCCTTTTGACCAGGTGTTTCAAATACTTCTGCCAGCTTTACATTCTTATCCTCACATTAACAGTTAATGAGGCTTACTTACTTTGACAATTCTTCAACCCTTTTAAGAAGGTCATTCTTTTGGGTAACAAGCCTGGTTCTAGAAGGTAAACCATAAATAGAAGGATTAACTACAGTCTAACAGATTTTTATGCAAAAAATATTTTACTGGAATTCTTATAAAAGCCAGGCTTACTTGACTTGCAGTAACTCTTTGTTTTCTTTCAAAACTGTGTCCAATTCTCCCACCATGGCTGTAATATCGGCACCCGTGTCCACCTGCCCAATAATGTCAGGTTCCTGACTGGATAGTTCTGCAAATATTGAGTGTGCACTTACTCCTTCTGGCAGTGACTCCAAGTCCAAGGAAATTGGACGTTCAGCTTGCCTGGACCCTGCTCTCCTAACCACGTCAATAGGGGAGGATGACACATTAGGGTTCAGTTCAGGTGTCGAGGCCATGATGGCTACTGCATCATTACTCAGATGAACAAAGTCTCCGTCAGGTGGGGAATGAGCCTCTCCAGACATTGCCCTTTCAACATCTGTCACAGTCATGATTGGCATGTTGTCCACATCTGAAACATTACAGGTATTGGTATCTAAACTTTGCAGTGAACTTGTTGTGCTTGAACGCGAGCCTTTGATCACAACATCACTACTGTTCAAATCCACTTTACCAGCAATGGCACTTGGGGAAATACAAACTTCACCATCAGGTATTTGACCGTTCTGAGTTGCAGGAGAAGCATCTCGAGATGTGTTGTCACTCCCTTTAGCTACACAAAGTAAACCAAGAAAAATACTGTCCATCAAATTAGCCCTGTAAATACTGCGAGCAGTAGGTATAAGAAATGTGTCCTCTAAATCTTTTTATTCATTTATTTTATTAGGGCCTGTTTACAAGGAGAGAGGGTAACCCTTGTGTCAGAGTTACCCTTGCAAGCATTTTAAAGTTAACTCTGGTTTACAGGGTCAACTTTACCAGCATTAGTTTAGTGGTTGGTCATGCATGACATTGTTTGTAACGTCCAATGAAGTTCTCTATGGAAAATGCGTTAAATTCATGAAAAAATGGGAAAATATTATCATTGTATACAGAAAATACCTTATATTGTTCAGATGTTTATAATTCAGCTCAGAAATTGGATAATTCCATTCAAATTGTCAAGACTGGAGTGAGGGACAAGGCCCACCCTCGCTTGGAAATTTAGGAACTAAGTTGTCTGAAATGTCATTCCCTCCTATTTTATGCAAATCGGCTGTTGTTATCTTTAGACAACAATTTAAAACTTTTGATTCCAACAATTTTACTCTGTCTTCAATGTTCTCTTTCCAAAAAACATGGCCCATAAAAAGAAAAGCAGTGTATACTTTAGTAGTTTTCCATATATTCATTCATTTCCTTGTGGCAACAGGATTGGACCACAACTTGCTCATTTTTTAAAACAATTTATTTAATTTTAGTAAACCTTCAAGCGGTTGCAGATGTCACTTGTAAACTGATCATGCACATTTTGACCTTACACAAAGCACAGCATTGGAGCAATTCAAATATCTCTTGCATGCAACTCCCTCACCTTTGGTTATTTTTAGATTATGTTATTAAATTCTAGCCAATGCTGCAGGACAAATAATGGCAGAAGTGATTAGGACATGGTCATTATAAAACAAATGTTTATCTTTTCAATTACCTGGTCTTTATATTTCCCAGGCTTTTTACCCCAGTTCCTATGAGACCAAATTAATAATCAAGATTCCACCACACCTTTTTTATCAGCTTTTTTTGTTGCCTATAAGCAGTGCCAATAGCCTTGTTCTCGGCCCCAAACAGGCTCAACGAATAACTAGATAGGTGTTTAAACAACGGCTTTTTAACAGGCCAATCAGGGCCCACACCAGGGTTGTCAAAAAGTTTTTAAGTAGCGGGCTTGTAATGGCTAGTAGGCAGTTTTGGAAGTCACACCAAAGGCACAAGTTCTTGAGGGCTGAGGCAACTAGGAACATTTTGAAATTTAGAATCTCGAAAATGGCATTTTCAGGGGTTTTCAAGAGGTATTTTCCACTGCAGACGCCATGTTTCTTCGTCAAAATACATGCAAGACTGGGAACAATGCCGTTGAAATGTCCCAGGCACTCCACGACATTGCATGATTTGAACGTTCCACATATCTAACCCTGGGAAACAGATGCTTTACAATTTTATTCGATGGTGTTTATTTTTTGTTAGCAGTTATGGTAGAAGGAGATGAGGATGGCTAACAAGCTGGCGGATTTGGCTGGCTACCAGCCCTTATTGACAGTCCTGGCCCATACTCAAATCCTGTTACACAGGTTGGGACCCAGAAAAAGGATTTTGGGACTGTTGCACAAAAAAACTCAACCAGTAGTTTAGATCGGTCTGTGGAACAGGCTACATTTTGCATTGCCCTGAAACTAGATCAGCATGCCAAGACACCTACCTTTTCTTTCATTAGCAAGTTGTTCTTCCTCGAGAGACAGCTCATTTGCATTCACCTTGATTGGAAACAGTGGCATTTCTGTGTCAGGAGTCTTGGGTCTTGGAGAGGACTCAGGGGGAATCAATTCCCCTAGAGAATTTACTGGAGTACCCAATGATGGGGATTGTGGGGAATCAGTATTAGAAGTGGCTCTTGGCCTGCTACAGAAAACAAAAATATTGAAACTTTAACATAATGGACAATATTTGACAGAAGTACGTAGCGGTAAAAAGGACCAAAGCTGACTGCAAAGTTCCTCATTAGCAAGATAACCAAGGGAATAGTATATCTGTAACCTGTTGTTCTACTTTGTGGTAGGAGTGCTTTGTGCAAATACCAAAACTAAGCAGAGCAAAATACAAAAATTTAAGATATAAACTTTCACACACTTACATAATTACATTGTGCTGTTGGAAGTGGAGGAGATAAAATTTAAACAGCGTGGATGGAGTAATATGATTGTCTTCATAATTCCACAAATGGTATTTAGTGATCAACTTGGAAATTGCACGCCAATCATCCTCTTTAAATAAATTTTTATCCCTACAGAAACTTCTCTGATGATGAATTATCATAATATTCATTTGTACTAGTGGGATACCTAAAGGGCGTCCTTGGTGTGCCATCTGAAGGTGTTCCTGGACCTTTTCTGTCATCTCTTTGAAGCCTTTCCATGTGCTGATGAAGGAGCTAGAATCAATAGAAACCACTGTAACTTAGCTTGTGAATAAAATCAGGAGAAACTTGCTTTGCTTTCTGGCACTTACATGAAATATTTCCTACTGACAATGGCAATGGGTACCAGTTGGAGACCAAAATACAATAATTATTGTATTAAGATTGTTCAATTAAGAAAGTTTTTTCTTAAGAGTGATTTGAATCACTCTTTCTTAGGCAATCTCTTATTTCATTAAAACTAGTAATCAACCATCACATGGCATCAAATTTTGTATAACGTGAGCACCAATACACCTTAATTTTCCACACTGGCACAAAACCTGAAAATATATTACCATTGTGGTGACTAGAATCCTCTATCACGCCTTGAATAGAAGGCCTATGAATCTTTGAAAATGTGCAAAAATAAATCTAGGGAACTTATTGCCACTTGTGTCAACAAAAAAGCTGTTGCTTGATGTCATAAAAAAACTAGAAGATTTGTTGTATAGTCTCTTGTAATGCCTCCTGAGTTTACTTTAAGACAGACTGGATATCTACCGTGCATATTATCAGAAAATGATGAGACCTGGCAATTCTGGAGGGTATGTATGTTGCAGTTAATTTTTGTTTTTCCTTTGTTTTACATTAACATACATTACCATACCCCAAAACAATGAAAAAATAAAAATTAACTGAAATAAAAAATTAACTACAACATATACCTAAAACAAACACAGAGTAAAACCATTTCCTGTTTGTTTTAAAGAATACCTGGCAACTAATGTTTCGAAATATCTAAGAGCCAAGTTACTCCTGGAAAAAATACTTATTTATGGCCTACTGTGTATATAATTGTACCTCAGAGTGTCTTTCATGAAGTGTGTGGTATTCACGCTTCATCTCAGAGATTCTCTCATCCTGACGTTCAACTGTAAAGAGAGAGATTTGTCACTATTGTAAGAAAACTAAAAGTATGTATCAAGATAATGATGTATGGCAATGAAGTCAGTTTCTTTGTTTATCTGACTATAGTTATGACAGATTCCCTAGTAAAAGCAGAGCTTAAAAACGTGAAATCCAGCTCGTCCTTTTGGAAAGCATTAATTTTCTCACATTTTACTTGCTGGGGGCGACTTCTTGCTCATCTTAGTTAACAACACCATCGCTTAGTGGAGGTGGGTGCCCGGAATTTTCAGGGCCTTCCACCTTTGACACAGCCAACCCCTAGACTGAGTTATGCCCCCATGGCTGGCAAACCCTTGCCCTCCAGCCATAAGCACCTTAGCCAATGGAACAAGGCACCTGTCACACTGATTTATCATTGGAAGAATAATTGGGGGGAGGGACGGGGGTAAAAGAATAATCCAAATGCTAAATGAGGAGAGTGGCCGCCATGAACACGCTGTACTGAGCACATGGAGGTGATGCAAACAAGGCTGACCGCGCTTGAGTCAAATGACTGACTGCTAACCACGCCCACACTCCTTGTTGTTACCTGTGTTCAATAAATATTTTATTTAACTTAATTTAATGATTTTGTTAGAGGATGACTTGCCTAGACTCTTGTTTTTAGGCAAGTGAGTTGTTTGTCCAGGAAAAAAATCTGCTTGTTCCAGACTACCAGACGGACCTTTTTTCAAGCCCTGATGAATTATAACATTATGCCAGCTGCAGAGCTGCATGTACCTTTATCATTAGTAATATTAACAGCAAGCCTCAAATATAAGGCTTATAATGAGACAAAAGTTCCTTCCAGGGATTCATTTGAGAAAGACAGGGTTTTCATTAAGAATTCTAGTAGCAGGAGAAAGGGGTAACGTTACGGAAGAATATTTTAAAAGAGGCTCCACGTCCAAAAAAAATATAGTCATAGGCTACCAAATGTTTGCTGGAGAATTCTGCCTAGTAAACGGAGAATTCTTCAATCTCCAATGCCTAATGAACACCCTGGAAGAGAGCCATTTTCTTGAACATTAGGCTTGTCTTTTACTGTAAATTTCTTCTCTCCAAAATAGAGCTGTTAGCCCCTCCCCCTCCACCTTTTCCCTCGATTTAATTATTTCTTAATTTCATATTGATTTAACTATTCACTAAATGTGACTTAAAACTCACCATGATCCTGATAGCTCTTGATACGAGCCTCCAAACTCTTATTGTCATGTTCCAGCGAATCAATTTGTTTCTGGGTTTCTCTCTTTTCAACTTCTATCTGATCTTCAATCTCAAGGTATTTCTGAGTGCATAATAAATACAAAATTATGACTCTCAATACCGAAACAATAGCAAATCAGGGCTCGAATTCAAGCATTTGGATAACTCACCCTCTGGGTTATTTGACACAAATTTTATGCGCTACCCTCCCCATTTTTAACCTCATTGGATTATAACCAGAAAAATGTCTTTTTCTAGTCATGCAGATTTTTGGTCCTTATTTACATTTTTCCTCACACTGCTTTCTTGAGTTTTCCATGCCAGTGTTCTAAAAGAAAATTTTCCTTTGAGCCATGTTGGTCACTTGGACACATTATTCCCAACAAATGTTGAAAACTACTAACCATTGGTTAACAGGTTACCATTAATTCGAGCCCTTTAAATTCTGTTGCCCTTATATATTCCTTAGAGCCTTCTTTTGCAGCGAAGTGTATTTATGAAGGCTCATAGTGCGAAGAAAGAAGAATGTGAAAAAAATTCATAGTGTATACAGTATGCAAAGAAAGTGGTGTCCAATAGCCCGGGGCTAGTGGATTTTGCTATCGGGCTAGTGATTTCTGTTCTTAACTTGCCCGATGGGAAAATGAATTTTTTTGGGGGAATTCAAATTACAGAAGAACTGTAACCAATGCTCATCATAATTTTTTTTCTTCGGGCTAGTTGAAATGACTTTTGGGCTAATATGTGCTAGCTACAGCCTGCCCGAATGACAAGCTGTAAAACTGACTTTCTTTACACCCTGGTATATAATGATTGAAGAGTTTGGCTAATTCATCTCACCACTACCCTTCCCTGCCCCTTAACCCTTTAAACCCTAATATCAAAATTGTTATTCTCATTTGTTGTCCCTATGTGTTTTCAATAGAAGTAGTGGGGAGAATTCGTTAAAGTATCAATTAGATTCATCTTTCCTGATCAGGTCCTCAATTCTCCTGACGACTCTGTTTTATAAAGCATTGATACTATGAGGACAAATTTCATGCTGACCATTCTTGGGGCTTAAAGGGTTAACCCTCTCCCCCGACACTACCATAAAACAAAAGCTCATTGGCATTAAAAATTTCAAAAAATCTTAAGAAAATTTAATTGATTTAATTCATAATTAAATTAATATTCAGACTTGCACATATTGTGAGAGGTTTGTAAAGTGGATATTAAGTTATCATCAAATGTTACAAAGGGAAATTAATGACACTATTTTCTAAAACAACAAGCTCTAATGACCCGTAACCTGACCCATCGACTGTGTGTTAAAGAAAAACTCAAAAGTTCAAACCAAAGATTAAGCAGAATTCACAGCAACCTATGTTTAATCCTTAATTCACATCAAAGAAAATGTTATTAAAAAATATATATCTCTATGAATTTCAAAGCTGAAAAAGATGTGTCTCCTCATATGCATAAATATAAAGTTATAGAGCTAAGTGCTTCCAATAATCAATTTTCCTGTAACCTTTGCAGGTAACTAGTTTACCCCTTGTGGAGGTTTGAAAACCCCAAAGATCATATTCAGGATTTACAGTGTTTTAAATGATAAATCCTGGTCTGATGTAAATACTAAAACTATTTTTATTTTTTAAGTTTAAAATTGCCGCTGTAAAGTAATGAAGAAGTACACAAATCGTGCTGAACAATGTTTACCTTTGCTGTAATTTAAAAATTGTTGATCTCAGACACAACTGTACCCACGTGTATTTCACTCAATGAAAACGCATTGAAAATATTCTCAGCTGCTGCGAATAAATCACTTCTTTCAATTGTTCTTAGAATATTTCCGTTGATCTAAAGCTTTAAAATTTACATTTGGCTCCAAAATATATCCTTTGAAAGTCACGGGCTAAAACTAAGAGCACTACGCTTAAAATCGTTACCCCACAAGCAAATTATTATGTAAGTAAGCTTACTGCAAGGTCATGAAGAAATATATCATAATGCGATTAAATCAGAATACTCAATTTCTACTTTTGTAGGTTAAAAAGAGTAACAACCTTCAAAAGTTTAGAATCGAAGCTGCAAATTCAAAGCAATCAAATTGCCGAGAAGACAACGCCTTACGTAGATCTTTCGAAATAAAGGCAAAAAATAACTAATGATGAATTATTGACCACAAAAACATGGCTTATAATTCACGAAACTTTTCAGTCAACAACAATAAAAAAAATCGCAGTGGAACATAGTATTAATTCCAATAGTATTCCACGTACTAATGCAAAATTGCTCAAATGCATCGAACAGGTAGATCACACTGGAAGTTAGAAATTATCAACTCAGACAATGACTAAATTCGTCATTAAATACAAAAGACTTCAATTTCGATAATCATAGCTAAATATTCACAAAAGTACGGATTATTTCACTTACGTTTTCAGCCAGCTTTCGTATTGTGAGAGGTTTGTAAAGTGGATATTAAGTTATCATCAAATGTTACAAAGGGAAATTAATGACACTATTTTCTAAAACAACAAGCTCTAATGACCCGTAACCTGACCCATCGACCGTGTGTTAAAGAAAAACTCAAAAGTTCAAACCAAAGATTAAGCAGAATTCACAGCAACCTATGTTTAATCCTTAATTCACATCAAAGAAAATGTTATAAAAATATATATATATATCTATGAATTTCAAAGCTGAAAAAGATGTGACTCCTCATATGCATAAATATAAAGTTATAGAGCTAAGTGCTTCCAATAATCAATTTTCCTGTAACCTTTGCAGGTAAATAGTTTACCCCTTGTGGAGGTTTGAAAACCCCAAGGATCATAATCAGGATTTTACAGTGTTTTGAATGATAAATCCTGGTCTGATGTAAATACTAAAACTATTTTTATTTTGGAGTTTAAAATTGCAGCTGTAAAGTAGTGAAGAAGTACACAAATCGTACTGAACAATGTTTACCTTTTCTGTAATTTAAAAAATTGTTGATCTCAGACACAACTGTACCCACGTGTACTTCGCTCAATGAAAACGCATTGAAAATACTCTCAGCTGCTGCCAATAAATCACTTCTTTCATTTGTTCTTAGAATATTTCCGTTGATGTAAAGCTTTAAAACTTACATTTGGCTCCAAAAATATATCCTTTGAGAGTCACGGGCTAAAACTAAGAGCACTATGCTTAAAATCGTTACCCCACAAGCAAATTATTATGTAAGTAAGCTTACTGCAAGGTGATGAAGAAATATATCATAATACGATTAAATCAGAATACTCAATTTCTACTTTTGTAGGTTAAAAAGAGTAACAACCTTCAAAATTAAAGAAATTAGAATCGAAGCTGCAAAATTGCCGAAAAGACAACGCCTTACGTAGATCTTTCGAAATAAAGGCAAAAAATAACTAATGATGAATTATTGACCACAAAAACATGGCTTAAAATTCACGAAACTTTTCAGTCAACAACAATAAAAAAAATCGCAGTGGAACATAGTATTAATTCCAATAGTATTCCACGTACTAATACAAAATTGCTCAAATGCATCGAACAGGTAGATCACACTGAAAGTTAGAAATTATCAACTCAGACAATGACTAAATTCGTCATTAAATACAAAAGACTTCAATTTCGATAATCATAGCTAAATATTCACAAAAGTACGGATTATTTCACTTACGTTTTCAGCCAGCTTTCGTAGCTGCTTTTCCCTTTCATATTGCGTTATAAGTTGCTCGTTATCATCACTCAGAATTTCCAGTTCCACAAGTTGTTCGTTATTGTCTCCATAAGCGCTATCAAGCTGTTCTAAGACTGATACCATGAGCGGCATAAGTCCTGAAACAACATCTTGATCGTATTTTTGTATCATTCGCTCAAACTCGCTGTAAATACTGTTAGCAAGATTGGACACTCTTTCCGACATGACACTCGCACCACCTTCATCTCCACTCGAATAAACCACGTCGTTTTTGTCATCTTCTCCTTCCATTTTTTACCTATTTCTTCTCAGAAGGAAGACAATTGTCTAACGTTCATTATATTGACAATTGGTGACAAGGACTTGAAGAAAACAGATACATTTTGCCATGATTTCTTCGCCTCCAAATTCAACGCTCACCTTCCCCAGTCATTTCCATTAACAGAGAGAAATCTGGGGAGGAGTTTTGCCGGTCTGCAAAATTATCCAATCAAATCAAAGATAAAATTAAATGGAAAGAATAGTATGCATAATTTTATTGTTAGTGACTATGTGATTTTATTGTCTGGTAGCCCCAGCGCCTGGGTAGCGCATTTGTTCCAGCTAAAAGCTCCAAAACATATTTCCGGCTTATTTGCATCCACTTTTGTTTTGTGCATTTTAAAGCAAAATAACTCTATCCATCCATTCCTCCCGCAAGCGACCTTCCATTCCTTTGAATGTGATAATTCAAACATGTTCAAAAAGAACTTACGGCATGTTACTTTGTCACCGCTCGAAGTTTCTTTTACACTCTGAGACTGTCGCAGTATTTGCATAGTCAACTACCGTAAATAATGTAACAGACTCTACGCCCTCTGTCAAATAAAGGCCCCTTGTCTAATAAACGCCCCCTCGACACTTATACGTTTGTATTAGAAACCCCTCTCTAATAAATGCCCACCTGTCTAATAGACACCCCACGACAATTGCTCCAAAATACTAGGAAAGTAGGGACAACAGAGCAAAATCATTCAATAAAGTAATTTTTTTCTCGCCTGTCTACGTTAATAAGAGTTTGCACATCGCATCTTGCTCAGTGTTAGCCCAGGCTCACAGATAGTGAGGAAGACGCGAAAAGTTGGCTGGGCGGGAAAAAGGCCGCCCCTTCTCTCCCCAGTTTCCTCCCGTTTTATTTTCGTGTTCGCGCTTTGACCTGCTACCATGCCCGAAAGGGAGGGGGGGGGGGGCATGGCAGCAGGTCAAATTGAACCATGCATCACCATCATAAGTATCAGCCATTGTCAACTTCGGCGATAGTTGCCGACATACGTCGCTGTTTGGCCTCGCTTTAAGTGATCTCTGCTCAAAATGTGTCCACCTCGAAGCAGCTAGCTATTACTTACCATCTGAGTGACGATCTTCCATAACCAGAGTGATTCCAAATTAGGCTTGAGCAGTGGAAAGGCCGATACCTAGCTATCAATGGATCCTTGGGGAACTGGCTTATAAAGCCAAGTCAAACCCTTTAGCAAATTTAAGAATGTATCACATTTTAAGATGCATTCTTTTTCCGAACATAACCGTTCTGCTAAAATTGCATGTACTTTTCCAGTAACATCATGTGATCGGGATGGGAAAACACTAACCAATTATGCGTGCCTACATCCCAGAACAATACAAGTACTAGAAAACCTTCTGTAACTGCTTCAGTTCAGTGCTCAGTTAGGCATTGACAAAACGAATACGCAGAATAAGGAAACGTCGTAATTATTACGCTAGCTTATGCTTTCAAACACAAACACAAACGACAAACGACAAGAGAGTTTGGGAATAACAAACAAGGGCACCCAACGACTGTTTTCTGTAACATATCTGAACAAAGAAGCAAATATTGCTTAGAATTTTCTATTGCTTAAATACGGCAAACATTTCTAACTGAGCGTTCCATTCAGTTACAAATTCTCTACGATTTTCTGAAGTTTTATTTTTCATATTTTACCCCTTTGGTTAGGCTAATTTTCGCAGAAAAAGGAAACCTTTCGAAAAATTTTCGCGGATTCAACTGAAAATGTGATGGAGAAAAAAATAAGAAAAATTCTGACTTTCGTGAAACGTTCAGCTGCATCTAAAATTTTCGGGCAAATAACAATGAAGCCCTCGTAATTTCGAAAAGCCTCACTGATTTCGTGCGAGTCTGTCCCAATTTAAAATAGGGGTATTGCCAGCACGATTGATTTGATTTGCTTGATAAAATTTGTTTGTTCTCCAAAACTTTTCCTTCACCGTTTTGGGTGGTTATACTTACGTCTCGCACCGGCAGTCCTGAAAAAATATCTCCGAAAATGAAACAACATAATAATAAGTCCAAATCTTGGATGGTTAAAAAAGAAAACAACTGCATGGGGAAAAATTTCGTGCAAGCTTGTGCCCAGAAAAAAAACGAAAAAAAGTCCAGCAGACAGGTAGGCTTTTATAGAATTCCTGCCACGAAAATTTTTTTTTTCCCTCCGGTTATTTCTAGAGGTCCGTCTCTTAGTGAGGTCGGGAATTCTGAGCAATAATCTTCGGTCGTTTTGGTCCTTTGGGAAATCTTTGAAGCAGTTGAAATAATCGAAGTCCAGTCTGATAAAGGCTTGGATAAATTCTGAATGACAATGAATTACGACTTTTGTTCTTGAGGTCCAATTATGCCCAGGTTTCCCACCATTTTTTTAAGGCCTCAGCCGAAAATTATTCGGGAGCCGAGCAGGCTAATCGACCTCAGTGCTGGAATTCTCAGAATTAAGGCGTCCGAGCAGAATATCAGAATAAGAGATTTTCACAAGCATTGCTGGCAGGCAGAATAAGCCATTTTACAAGACAGAAGCTGAGTCTGTTATTGGTGACTGATAGTGACAGTAGCCTCGAACCAGGCTCCGCATTGGGGGAAAAAGGAGAGAATAGAGAGAGGAGTCTGGGGGTATTTGACCTTTTCCGCCACTACGGAGTCCGGGGCCTGTTTCTCGAAAGTCCCGCTAACTTTTCGGGCCCAGAAAGTTGTTTTGTGTTCGGTTGTGTTTGCGTTCAAGATCAAAGTTTCAATAATTTTGAAAATAATACAATGCAACTGTTAGTGAACGAAGCAAAATTGACTGGTCTGTGGGCTAAGAACTGTGCTATTATGTAACAGGTTTTAATTTCCAAATTTCCTTTCGGGCCGGAAAAGTTTCCGGGTCTTTTGAGAAACGGGCCCCTGTTCCCAGGCTATAATGAGGTTTTCTAATTATGATCTCGTCTTCTCAGGCTCTAGCTAGGAAACGAGAAATTTTTGCTCAGTTAGCATATGTTAGGATTAATATGAAACAGTGCCGGAGAAGCTCACCAATAATTAAACTCTGAACAAAAAGGTCAAAAAGCGCGGGTAAAATATTTCAAACCGGGTCGGAGATGCGAGCAACACGTGGTATAGCTTTTGTTATCACATTTCCAGTCGCGTGTCTCGTTGCATCTCTAAAAGTTGGAAAAAAAGGGTTTTTAGTTTCAGAATCCTTTTCATATAAAGCACAATCAACCACGGCGTTTATTCAACAGTGTTGACTTTTTTTAACCTCCGGGTATTCAAATTGAGCTTCTCTCATTTGCATTTGAAAGAAATGCGTGGAAGTCGAACGCAGTTGTTAAAAGTAGAGTGCTGCGTGTCTGTCTGCAGAAGTGGGTGCTTGGAAACTGGAAAGATTTTCTTGAAACCAGTTGTCCTCGGAAACGCTTGCTACAGGTAAACCGTGGTCAGGCTTGGAGTTCCAACTATTTTACAAAATTTCGGTAAAAGCTACAAGAAACCCGCGGCTGTTGTCAACCTTCTTGCTGCAAAGGGCGAACTTGTTTTGCATCTGACTCAAGATCATTTGTGTTTCCTTAAGCTCTTTCTCTCTTTGGGAGACCACACAAAGACTTCAGTACTTTGAAAAGGACGGCGAAAATTCACAATGAATACAGCCGATGCGTTCAAATTAACACAGAATGTTATCGCAATTTTGTCTTGTTTTATCGTGTTTATGACTTCGTACCCTTTTTATGCTGACGCAACACATGCAAGCGAAGGACGTGATCCCATAGAACAGTTCGAGAGCAACGTCAACTTCAGCAAAAACTTCATTGTGGAATGGAAGGTCGACCATGATTCGCAAAGCGTTGAATTTTTATTAAAGGTTACTATTGATGACAAAGGATGGGTGTTATTAGGGTTTTTGCCCGCATCGAACGACTCCTACAAACCAGCTCAGGAGGACAGACTTGAGGGAACAAAAGGGGATTTTGTGGTAACGTGGTTTTCATCTCCAGGACGGACAAAAACTTTGGTAAGAAACTTATCCTTTATCATAAAATTGGGGTGATTGCGATGATAGATAATGCAATAACAACTTCTTTTAAGTATTTATATCTTCCTAGTAGTGTGGCATATCGATCATGTCTGTTTGTCTTTTGCACTAATATGGTAATTATTTCTCGATCCTCCTTAAAAAAAAAAAAAAAAAAAATAAATGATTATGGAAAAAACCTTTAAGTTAAGGTTTGAAATTTAATCCCTAAAAAAATAGAAATTTTACTTTTTTTAATAAATCTTATAAAATTTTTTTATTTTTTTTTTTTTTTTTCAAGTTTTTTTTTTTTTTTTTTTTTTTTTTTTTTTTGTTTTTTTACAAAATTTTTTAAAAGAAATATCTTCTTAACATAAAATTGGGGTGATTGCAATGAAAGAAAATGAAAAAAAAATTTTTTTTAAGTATTTTATTTTTCCTAGTAGTGTGGCATATCGATCATGTCTTTTTTTTTTTTGCACTAATTTGGTAATTATTTTCCAACCCCCCTAAAAAAAAAAAAAAAAAAAATACATGAGTATGGAAACAACCTGTAAGCTAAGGTATGAAATATAACTCCTACAAATATTGCATTTTTACTTGTTGTCATAAATCCTATAAAATGTTGTTGAATGAGTCTCTTGTTTTCAAGACTTCAAGAGAATGTAACATCAACAATTTTTTGTAACTGTAACCCGGATATTGACTTTATTTCTTCATCAGTTAGACGGTTGTTACTTTTTTTATATATTTCTATCAAAGTGCTGGTGTCCAAAAAACCAAATATGGCTGTTTGCCAAAAGTAGTTGAACCCTGGCATCTGGCATGACACGCGATGTGCCCTTTAAGCCGCAGTATCAACAAACAAATTCTCTGAACAGTTCTGAAAAGAATTAGGCAAGATAATTTGTTTAAAGATCAGTTACAAAGCATTTCTGTGAATTGATCACCTCTGACACCTCACAAATCTTTAGGAGCTAATGCTATTTCTTTGCATAATATTTGCAAAGTGGCTGAAACCACGTTTATACTTGCTCAGTTCTGTAACAGTCATACTAAGTAAAGCATAAAAAAGTATTCTACAAAAATTTCCAATCGTCTTCACAGGACTTGAATACAATTGACACTGGAAAGTTACAGCCAGATGGTAATTCCACGCCACTAGACTACAATGTGACTGTAGTGCATTTTGCAGAAAACTCAAGTGATAAGGTTTTACGCATTACCAGAAAACTTGACACAGGAGACCCACTGGATGTGCCCATTACGGTAAGCTTCTTGTCTACACTTCAATCACAACAGGATCGATTTACCTTTACTGAGGTCCTCTTTAGGGAGGGGAACGCAAGTTCCTTGTCTCAATTTCAAAACCAGTGGAGGAGGCCATGTCACTGTCAGAATTTAACTATTATATTTGAGATTATCCTCGTAGCTGTCTCAGTTTCAACTGATCTTTGTCGTTTGTCACCATTGAATCAATCAATATCAATCATCAACTAAGTGCATTTAGTACAGTATATTTGACCCTGAGTGAGTCATAGATCCCTAATAATTTTTTTTATCTATTTTCTTGTTAAAGGATCAACCAATGTGGATTGCTGGTGCTTATGGTAATTCTGACGTCTATTTAACAGACTTGTCAAACATTACAGCTGGCGGCCTAGACACTTTGACATTCAAGAAAGTCATTATTCTAAGGGAAACAACAAAAAATAACAGCAAAAAACCATGGCATAAAGTGTTACAAGGTACATATAATGGGAAGTATACAAGAAATAATTCATTTTTGAACTGCGGTTGTAGATGAAAGTGAAGAATGATCATCGCTGTAAATTTTCCAATTTAAGCAATTGGAAAGAAGAAACCTGAAAAAAATCAGAAGCCCTGATTTTTTTTTTTTGAGGCTTCTTCTTTCCAACTGCTTAAATTGGAAAATTTACTGCGATGATCATTCTTCACTGTCAAGGTACATATAATTAAATATCTATCTATATATATATATGCCCTGTTCATAATTTGTCACAAAACCAAAAATATTATGCAGAACAGGAAATTAACCACAAATATATGTTTTTAGTATTTACCAAATCAGAAGATAGCAATTTTTACACATTTTGAGTGGTTCCAGGTACACAGAAAGAATAACCTTGGCTATTCACTGTTCTGGGATGTGATTCAATTTAGCCAGTACCATGCCATTTCACAACAGTTTTGTAAGATGCTTTTTTTGGCAATCAATGAAGCAGTTGTACCTAAAAAAGCAAAGATATTTGGCTTGGGGGTGTTAACTGGTAGGTAGAAAATTCTTTTCCCACATTATTTGCTACAAAATCATGAAAATGCATTCGACAAATACCCAAATACCCATTTACAGAGGTTACTTGTTTATTTTTATCCAAGTGATTTGGTAAATACTAACAGTGATTTTGTTACAAATAGTTATGGTGAGTCCTGGGACTCATCTTGTGAAACATAGAGTCCTTGTCCACGAGTTTTAAAAAACAAGATTGAAAATGCTTTAGCCTTTATGTAACCAGACAGTTAATCTGGAGACAGCTAGATGCCAGAACTCTTTATTACAGTTTACTGAAATTAAAATATAGTCCTTCTATAAACGTAAAGCACAAAAAAGACTAAAATAAATATGCATCTTTAAATAACAGCCACAGAAATCCCACGAACCAGAATCTGGTTTCTGCCAAAAAATCTTCAAATCGATCAATCGTTCTTTGGGTCCTACGGGATGCATGCCATGAATTATTTTGCCTCATTGAAGATTCTTATGCATCAGGGATGTAGAACGTAGAGGTAACAAAATCACTATACTAAAACGACTAATGCCATCAGGAACTGCACAAAGCATCATATAGATTCCTTGGCGCTTTCAATTTAGTGATTATATTCACCATTATTCCCTTCCCCTCAGGGAATAGTTGAGTACTAACCAAGAAATTAAGCTAGCAAGTTACAATAAAATTTGGTCGGGCACAAGCTGAATTTTGAGCAAAATTTTTATATACCATTAAGACAAACCAAACACAAGTTACATGAAATAGAAACAAAAAGTTTAAAGTTTAATCCCCTCTGCCTTCGCCCCATAACTTTACTTCATCCTTTTCATGTTACAGAACAAGTGAGGAAGCATTGGATCGGTGTTGTGATTGGTGTGGCAGGATTGTTGACTGTTGTAATTGTTGCTGCAATTTATCTCAGCTCCAAGAGAGGCAAAGAAAAAGTAAAGAAAGTCAAAATGACATTTTACAAGGAGTAAGTCACTTCATTTTCTATGTTTTTGACCTAGGAAATTCAGGTTGAGTGTGTTCAGCTATAGTCAACTCTCTTTTAACAGACACCTGTATAAGACAGATACCTTAGTAAAATGGACACCTAGAGTTGGTCCCTGCCTTTCTTTACTCCCTTTATTTGACTCTCTATAAGATGGACACCTCTGTAAAACAGTCACCTAGAGTTGGTCCATGCCTTTCTTTACTCCCTTTATTTGACTCTCTATAAGANTGTCCACGAGTTTAAAAAAACAAGATTGAAAATGCTTTAGCCTTTATGTAACCAGACAGTTAATCTGGAGACAGCTAGATGCCAGAACTCTTTATTACAGTTTACTGAAATTAAAATATAGTCCTTCTATAAACGTAAAGCACAAAAAAGACTAAAATAAATATGCATCTTTAAATAACAGCCACAGAAATCCCACGAACCAGAATCTGGTTTCTGCCAAAAAATCTTCAAATCGATCAATCGTTCTTTGGGTCCTACGGGATGCATGCCATGAATTATTTTGCCTCATTGAAGATTCTTATGCATCAGGGATGTAGAACGTAGAGGTAACAAAATCACTATACTAAAACGACTAATGCCATCAGGAACTGCACAAAGCATCATATAGATTCCTTGGCGCTTTCAATTTAGTGATTATATTCACCATTATTCCCTTCCCCTCAGGGAATAGTTGAGTACTAACCAAGAAATTAAGCTAGCAAGTTACAATAAAATTTGGTCGGGCACAAGCTGAATTTTGAGCAAAATTTTTATATACCATTAAGACAAACCAAACACAAGTTACATGAAATAGAAACAAAAAGTTTAAAGTTTAATCCCCTCTGCCTTCGCCCCATAACTTTACTTCATCCTTTTCATGTTACAGAACAAGTGAGGAAGCATTGGATCGGTGTTGTGATTGGTGTGGCAGGATTGTTGACTGTTGTAATTGTTGCTGCAATTTATCTCAGCTCCAAGAGAGGCAAAGAAAAAGTAAAGAAAGTCAAAATGACATTTTACAAGGAGTAAGTCCCTTCATTTTCTATGTTTTTGACCTAGGAAATTCAGGTTGAGTGTGTTCAGCTATAGTCAACTCTCTTTTAACAGACACCTGTATAAGACAGATACCTTAGTAAAATGGACACCTAGAGTTGGTCCCTGCCTTTCTTTACTCCCTTTATTTGACTCTCTATAAGATGGACACCTCTGTAAAACAGTCACCTAGAGTTGGTCCATGCCTTTCTTTACTCCCTTTATTTGACTCTCTATAAGATGGACACTTCTGTAAAACAGACACCTAGAGTTGGTCCCTGCCTTTCTTTACTCCCTCTATTTGACTCTCTATAAGATGGACACCTCTGTAAAACAGACACCTAGAGTTGGTCCCTGCCTTTCTTTACTCCCTCTATTTGACTCTCTATAAGATGAACTATCAGTCTTAGATGGACACTTGGTGCATGCTAGTCCCAAAGGTGTCCATCTTAAAGAGAGTTAACCCTTTAAGCCCTAAAAGTGATCAGCATCAAACTTCTCCTTGTAATATTATTTCTTTGTAAACTAGAGTGGTCATGAGAATTACAGACATGATCACATGATGAATTTGCTTGATGTTTTATCAACTTTCTTCCCACGACTTCTGTAGGAAATGAATAGGAGCAACAAATGAGAGTTCAAATTTTGATCTTCAGGTTTAAAGTGTTAACTGGAGTGTTTACATATAAATGCTTTCATCTGAACACAAAATTTAACTGTCTGTCTTTTGTAACATACCTTTCTACAGTGATGAGGATGATGAAGCAAAAGTGGCATTTCTTCATTCAAGAACTTGATTGCGAGCATGATCACATCTCTGGTTCCTGCAAGACTTGAGACACATCCCATGGTTTTAATACCAGCATGCTTGGCTTTCAAGCATTGTAAAATGAACAGTGAACACCAGTAGCTTTTTCTTCAGAGCTATGTTCCAGGCAACACGCTGTACTCAACAAAGATGTACATGGCAGAACCTTCACTCTGAGATCCAAACCCTTACCCCCTTTGTATACCACTTTTTGTAAAAAAAGGTGTCCACTTTTAGTATTATTATTATCCTCCCTTGACTGAAGGGATGAGATGCATGGAAAAAATGCCCCAAGTGACTTCTGATAAACTAATAGACCCCCCCCCCCC